AAAAAAATATATTTTAATTATGATTTATAGTACTTTTAAATATAACGTATAGTGTGTTTGTAGGCTCTTATTAGATTGAAAAAATATTTTAAATTAGTAATTATTGTAATTAATAGTGTATATTACGTAATTTTCAAATTTGTAATAAATTTTTTTAAATATTAAGTCTAATAATTTATAGTATCTTAAATGTAATCTTTGAATACACATAAATTAAAAAAAGAAATAAGACAAATAAATTATAAATTGAATAATTGACATTTTCAAATATTAATTTACCACAAAATGAAAGTGAAGGAAGAAGTTGTGAGGCAAAAATAAAGAGAAGGGAATGGAATTAGTGAGGTAGGGTCCATATCCATTAAAAGAGATTGAAATAAATGCATGGCAAATTGAAAAGGTGTCAAATAGACAGGAAAACGGGCCCACATGCATTGAATAGTTGGCAGCCATTGAGTGGGTCACTAATACACGTGGCAGCATTTGCATTTCACGCTTTTGGCTCCGAAAATCGCGTGTTTATTTATTTAAAGGTAGGATAGTTAAAGTGCCTATTTGTGCATTATGAAAGTTGGAGGTCAAAGTTAAAATTTGAAACCAAGTTTAGGGGCCAATATATGTATTATGCCTATATTTATTCGTTTCCCTCATGATGAACTACATCATGAATAGGGACAACTGTTAAGCCATATAAAATATAGAATTTACCATTCAAGTTATAGAATAGGGACAACTGTTAAGCCTCTTCGAACTAATGCCCACAAACTAAGCATAGGCATGAAAAATGATAGCATTTTTCACTTAACAATTAAAATCAAAAAATAGAAGAGGAAAATAAAGGATTCATTTTTTACAAAAGTTGAAAATTAATAAGGACAACTACACCAAAAATTCTGTTAATTTCATCAAAACAAAGAACTAGTAATTAAACTTGTTTAATTATCACTACAAAGTTGGATGATGCATCAGCCTTCTGCACAAAGTAACTACATAAATAATACTATAGCCATAGTCATAGGCAGCTGTAATGAATAATAAGTTATAACTACAACAATAGCACAACTTTGGCTCACTGATAGGCTTCACAACTTCACATACAGTTGCCTTCTCTCTAATCATACCATTGGCACTCCACTTGATTAATAACAAGAGGAATAAGACCTATTTCGAGAAGATCTTCAGTTTTTCAATAAAGAAATTGCTAACTCCAATAGCTCTAATTTTCCCAGAATCATCAAGTTTCTTTGTTACTTACCATGTTTCTTTGAAACACATTTGTTCTAGGATCCTTAATAATTGCCTCTAATAAGGGCCTTTCCTATCTCTCTGCCTCTCATATCAGCAGCATGGACAATTTGGCGATGGGAGCGGCCCGCTTCCCTGGCTAGATGCAGATTGCCATCCTCCCCATGATTAAACAAAGCACCCATAGCAATCAGTTCTCTAATTCTCTCAGGTCCTTCACTACACACAACCTGGATCAAGTTTTTCCTAACTGAGAAGAAGTTATCAGTTGTGATGTCCCACAAATCAAGCACAACATAAAACTTTCTTGAAATCAATATATGTTTATAGAGATAAACAAAAATAGCATAGAGCAAACTAATTGATGTTCCTTAAAAAAGTGGTGCTGATTTAGGGAGAGTTCTATGATACCTTTGTGTGTTCTCATAAAAAATAAAAAAAACAACATAGTACTATAGTACAAAGTAAATGAAATCCCGATATCAAACCGAAAGAGACAACACAAGTTTATTTCCATTTTAATTTTATTTCTTCCTTCTTGCATGTCACTTTCAAGCTCTCTTCTCCAAATGTTCAAACACATAAGTCAACAATCTGAACCGTGAAGAATAGGACTACTACATACTCCAATGAAAAGGTTACATTTTTCCCACTAAGCCAATTGACTAAGAACTCTACATGCAGCTCAAACGACTTGACGATTAAGATATCTACATCTGGAGAGCAGATGTAAGTCCACATTTTCAAAACCCAAAGAACAAAATTTGGCGGTGTTTTGAAGGAAATAGTTAACCTGGAAATCGAAGCAGCAAAATCTCAGGAGAGTGGAGAAGAAAGAAAATAACAACATAAATTTAAGAATAAAAGATCAAAACATAGAATGGACTATTAGTTGAAGTTAAGATATTGTTATGATCTCAACCAAGACCAAAATTCAAATATAGAAATTAAACAATCAACTCAACACTTTTTTGGGAATTTTCTGTTATTTATCAAAAACAGAGAAATGGTACTCAAACCAACAGGGAAATTCTAACTAGTAAAAGAAATGAGATTAATATTGAGCTCCATTCAAGAATTGATCTGCAGAAGAAGAAGAAGAAGAAGAGAGGAAAGAATCAGATTGAGATGAGATGAGCAGAGAATTTGAGAGGGAGAAAAGAGCACAAGGAAAGGGTTGAGAATTACCAGATTTCAGTTAGCCTTCTCTCTCTTTTGTGATGTGTATATATAACCATCTGTCCACGTGGCACGATCTCGTCCCTTGAGCTTAATTAACTAAAATAAATCTTGGCCCTTCATTCTTTTATTTACTCAGTTAAGACTTATACTCCTTCCGGACTTCGACTCTTAACGGCAACATTTGATCAATTAGTTGAGATCATAACATACCCTCCGCCTTCAAATGATCTTTGTCCTCAAGGATTGGGATTAAAATTAGGGAAGGTGGTGCGTAAGTGTTGGTAGTCCTCTCATGTAGCATCCTCAGGAGGGAGGTTTGACCATTGAACTAAAACCTTGACAGCAGTAACATTGTTTTTCTTAACCATTTGCCGTTGCAGAATGGCAACTGGTTGCACTATAAACTGACCATCCGCTCCAGTGTTAGGCAGAGTAGACTGAACCACGACACGATCGCCCACTTTCTTTTGAGTAATGAAACATGGAAGACATGGTGGACCTTGGATTCAGGTGGTAATGCTAGTTTGTAAGCAACATTACCAATTCTAGCAATAACCAGATAGGGACCATAGTATTTAGAGCTGAGCTTAAGGTTCCTCCTTAGTGCTAATGATGTTTGTTTGTATGGTTGTGAAACGACCCCAAAAAAAAAATGCCCGAAAATGTGCTTCGGAAACACCTATAATTGTAATTTCCATATATCTCAAAATCCGTGCATAATTTCGGAAATTCGACTTCATATTCTTATTCAGGGGGTCAAATTGAGTGGGAAATGGGTCTAACCCGAATTTTAGAGCAACCGTATCAAAATTCGAAAATCGCAAA